GGGAGAGATTCTGTGACTATCATTAGGAAGAGATCAAAATATTATCCTTTGGATATTAAAAAATAAATAAAAGTAGTCAAAAACAACCATTTTGGAGGTCTGAAGTACAATCAAGTATAGAGAACAGGATGGGAGGAGACTGTTCCTAGAAACCTCATTGGCTTCTTGATGAGGATGGCAGAATTTCCTGGGACCTGCAGCCTTCTGCCCGGGCCTGCTCTTAATCCATCTTGTTGAGAGATGATTCCCTCATAAAATAAGAATCCAGAGTGCCAGAACAGTGAACTTAGTTTGGCTTGAAGGCCAAATACTCCTGTTCCCACTTCAAGTAAATATGAATATTTCATGAGGCAATGCTCAGAAAACCCTCTGTGAGCCCACATTTGCAGGAGTACAAACTATCCAATGACTGGATGAATAGAACTTGTTTGTTTTCATCCTGTTTTTGTGTGAGCATATAAATGAATGGGTTTCACTGTGATTTTTGTCATCTGCAGATAATATATTTCCTGCCTGTCTCCCCACTGAGCTTCCTTATCTCCCCATGTTTCTGGTCTCCTTCCTTCAAAAAGCAGCCCCTCTTCTGCCACTGTGACACATGTACCCCATACTCTTTCCTCTTCCCCTCTTTCAAGACTGCTTCCTTTTCTTTCATATTCCTATTCTATTTCCACCACACACAGAAAAAATATAAATAAAAAAGTATACATATGAATTTATGACTAAGTAATTCTTTCTTTATACTTACTTCTATGTCTTTAAATATATTTGAATAGACACACACACACAAACTTATACTTGCTTCTATGTAGTTAAGACTTTGTGTGTATAAGTATATACATAGATACAATTTCGAGTCTAATTATTTTTTTCTTTTTCTATTTACTTCATATGTTTAACTATATGTACATACATCATATTAGCAAAAATATAAACTTCCAAGTATATTAAATCCATAAATGCATAATAATATATGTAATCAAAAATAAAAATACTTACAAGTACATATAGACAAATATGAATATGTTTATATTTTTATATACTTAATTTTCTGTGCTGACTAGTTGTATGTCAGCTTGACACAATCTGAGTCATCAAAGGGGGGAGTCTCAGTTCAGAAAATGCCTCCATATCTGGGCTGGTGGTCCTGGGTTCTAATAAGAAAGCAGTTTGAACAAGCTATGAGCAGTAAACCAGTGAGTCTAACTTCTCCATGGCATCTGGATCAGCTCCGGACTCAATGATATGGCACTGCTTGTGTTCCTGCCTTTATTGCTCTTGATGATGAGCTATGGAGTATAGAACTGTTAGTGAAATAAACCATTTATTTATTTCCCTGGTTAGGTTGTACCTTACAATGACAGCTGAAGTTGGTAATTTGTAAGAGTCATCCTGGTAATACTGGTATTGTCTATCTGCTCAAACAGAGGCTGCACCTGAATCTACTGATGTTTCTCAGGCAGCAGACTGGTGTGACTTTTATGTCCCACTGTATTCACTTCTTTCTGGTGTCACCAACTGTGGCTTTTGAGTGCATCTTTATCATTGTATTCACCAGTAAAGACTCAGGAGTCAGAGGCTGGGGTGAAAACCTGCTAGCTCAGAGAGGTTGAAGAGCAGCTGGCTGACCTTCCCTCTTAGTTGGCAACTCAGAAAGATCATGTCATTTAGCTATGCAAAATCAAAATGATCACTACACTCAAAGTCCCTCCCTACTACTTCCTGGGCATCTCTCTGTCCATTTTCAGACTTCCTCTGACTCCCAGTGATTACTTTTTGTCAAGTAGTTGATGGGTCCTCCTGACCCAAGGTTGATTTTATTTAAATAACACAGATGCAAAATCAGTACTCACAGTGTGATCGAATATTCCATCATACACTGTTTGTGAAGGCATGAAAGAATCATGAAAAGCAGGTGAGGTTTAGCTCAGTGAGAGTTCAGGGTAAACATTGTAGAAGGTTTAGCCTCAGTAGCAGTTAAGCCCTAGACTAAGGCTTGGCATCATGAACAGTGCCTAGGAGAGGCTACTGGTGAAAGTGCTGCCCAGTTTCAGCAAATATCTCAGCATTTTGGAGATGCCAGTACCATGGAATGATTACCAAGGACAGTAGTAATAGTGCAGTAGAGGATGCCAGAATCTGGAAGGCAAGCTGTGTATGATGCATAGGGTGGAGCAAGAGAAGTGACCCAAATCCTTTGGAGGAGCCCAGAGATCATGAATGATACTGGACATAGAATTTGGTTTTGCTTTGTTCAGATTGTAACTGTGCTCGGGTTCTTCCTTCTTAAAGTGAAAGGGTATTTAATATAATTTTGATTTTTACAGGAATCCACAGTTAAGATTCTGATTATTGATGGGGGAAGGCCCAGCCCATTGTGGGTGGTACCACCTCAGTGCTGTGGTCCTGAGTGAATAAGAAAGCAGGCTCAGCAAGTCATAGGAATCAAGCCACTAAGCAAAACTTCCCCATGGCCTCAGCATCAGCTTCTAACCCATGTAAGTTCCTGATCTGCTTGAGTTCCTGTACCCACTGCTTTGGAATATAAACTGCTATATAGAACTGTGAGTGAAATCAATCCTGTCTCCAAGTTACCTTTGGGCATGGCATTTCATCATAACAATAATAACTGTAGTTAACACACTCTTTCTGTGTGTATAAATCTAACTCTAGATTTTATACACATGTAATGTTTCTTTCTGAGGCTAAGTCTTTTCACTTTACATGGTGACCTCCACGTCCATTTCCTACAAATGTGATAATTTTATTTTTCTTTATAACTGAATATAATTATATTGTGTACTTGTATCACATTTTCTTTATCTTCCCATGTGCTGATGGACAACCAACCAAACATGGATCAGAGTCTGACTCAGAAACTTGGAGATAATAAACGTGTGCTTTGATTTAAGCTGTTAAGCTTTAGGGTGATTAGTTTCATGGCTAGAGAGAACACAGTGCTTCAGTAAACACAGATGTGTAGGTAACTCTCTAGAGTGTTTTGGATATACTCATGGGAAATCATACCCTAGTTGTAGTTTCCTTGTCTTATTTTGACAGATTTCCAGATTGATTATCATTACCATCCTCTACTCTAGGACCCAAAAGTATATTTTTTGCTTCTAATCATATAAATCTAAGTCCTACTAACTCTAAATTTTGAACAAGATAAATTCAGCAGAAGGAGATGAAATGCTTCCTCTTCTAATCACCATATTGTTTATAGCCCCTCATAACAGGGGAGACAGAATTCAAGGATGGACATTAATGATCCCTGCTTCCTGGCATCCATGTCCTTGTAGAGTCCCTTCTCCTTGAGTGTTTGGCTTGTAACCAAGAGAATACAACTCCAAAGGAGCACTTCTTCAAAGATTAGCTCAGAAAGAACATGGCTTCCCTTCTGCCAGCTGATTGTAAACTTAGCTGAAGCCAGCTGCTATGGCAGAGAAGCCCAGATGTCAGGGAACTAGGGATGGTTCTTGGCTAATTGCCAGTGAAGAATTAAAGCCCTAAATCCTGTCACTGACATGGAATTAAAACCTTGCCAACTACATGGTGAGCTTGGAAGGGAATGCTTCCCTAGGCAGGCCTTGAGAGGAGCACAGACTCCTTGCCAAAGACTTGCTTGCAGTCTTCTAAGACATTACAAGCCAGAGACTCCAGCCAAACACGGCTCAGATTCTGAATCAGAAACTTGGAGATAATAAACGAGTGCTTTGATTTAAGCTGTTAAGCTTTAGGGTTATTTGTTCCATAGCTAGGCAGAACACAGAAAGGAGACTTGATCACTGAAGCTTCTGTTGCTGCATTCCCTGGAGTTTGCTCCTCTGAAACAAGTTCTGATTCTCTCACCTTCTCACTGTCCCCTCCTCCTGACTAGGTCCAGCTAATGCTGAATGCATGTAGCATAGATACTGACAGCCAGTTTCCCAGGAAAAACAACACACTTTGGGAGACTTGTTCTGATTAAACATGATGTTCGATTTTTATACACAGTCTTACAGTTCCCAGTTTGCCCAAAGAGAAAATCAGTGATGCTGTATCACAGCACTACAAAGCTGCATTGATTGACGAAGCAACTTTTATCTATTGTTTTCATATAGAGTACATTTTTCTGTTCAATTCTTCAAATTCATTTTTACAAATTACTTTGTCATATGCACATAGACTCTATCATTAATTTCTGTTATTTCTATATGCACATTAATCTCAATTTTCTTTCATAGTTTCTGTATTTATTATGGAAAGGCTAAAACAAATGTGATTGAATGACACAGCAAAAGGTCATAGACATGTCCCACAAAAGAAAAATGAAAGTCCTATATTTCAAAATCAAATAAAAATCAGTAAATGACCTTTATTTCTTTTGTAACTCATAAACCTTCGTTTTACAATCATGAAAGATGAGCATGTCCAGAAGCATGACCTTGATGTGTTAGCCAGTTTTACTTTTCTAAAAACCAAACAAAACCCTGAGCTAATCAAAATTACAAGGAGAAATGGCTAAACTGGCTCACAGATTAGAGGTCTCAATCTGTGGTTCACTGGTCCTATTACATGGAGGGAAATTATAGCAGAACAAAACTGCCCACCACATTATTGGAAAGTAAAAGAGGAAGAGATCAGTTTTCAATAATCCCATTTAAGGGCTCACATTCAATGAACTAACGACACCCCACAATGTCCCATCTCCTAATGTTAGTGGAATTCTTATTATACTGAGATTTTTATCATGAGGATTTTTGGAGGGACACCAAAGAGTCAAATGGTAGCAACTTGCTTGTGACTCATCTCTATTGTACTGTAGACTATTCTGTAAAGAGAAGCTTTTTCTTTTGAGAGACGCCTTCCTGCCAGACTGGTTCTAGAGCCGCATCAGTCCCAAATAAACACACAGGAGGCTATATTAATTATGAAGCTGTTGGCCTTGCTTGTTTCTTACTGGCTAGCTCTGACTTAAGTAATTACCCCATAATTGTTAATCTAAGTATGTCTCTTACCAGAGAAGTTTACGGGCTTCCTACCCCATGGTGTTACATCTCGACTCTCTGTGTTTCTCCTTCCCAGAGTTCTCCTGGACTCCTAGTCCCACCTATCTTGGTTCCCTATTGGCTCAACAGTGCTTTATGACATAATCACAGGACTTCTCACATCATCTCCTCTTTTCTGTCTAAACAAAAAGAAAGGTCTTAACTTTAACATAGTCAAATTATATATAAAAGAACAGTTATCAAGTAAGAACATAGTTACAATATTTTGTCTATCAACATTTAGCAAGATTTAAAGAAAATATCATCTATCTCATTCTTGTGAGTCCAAAGTCCTATATGTAGCTTATATTTTATCATAACTAAGGAAAACTATAATTATAACTATCTGTCTTCAACTCCATCAAAGACCACAGAAGGATAATATATAAACACTAGGATTGACAGAGACATCTTACTGCCTGGACAGTCACCCGAAATTCCTTGGTAACGTTGGGGCATCCATCTTCAGCCCATAGGCCACAATATATCCAGAAGATTTCTCAACAAAGTAGGAAATTTCAAAACTGTCCATCTGCATTGGCAGTCTGTCAGTCATTTCTCTGTGTCCTGCAGAAAGTCTTGTAGACTCTTCCATGAAGTAGGAACACTGTAAGACTCAGTTCAGCAGTCACTTTCCTGTGGGTCCTGCATGTCCAGATTATACACCAACAGTCAAGCAGTACAGGCAAGAGCAGTTTCTTGTCCAAATGGCTAATCTTGCCATGTTGAAAGCAAACTCCATAACTAGTTTCTTCGATGCCCATCTTCCTCTCAGACGTAATTGGTGCAGCCAGGAGCAGACATTTCTCATTGTCAAGAAAAATCCTAACCCATTTTAAATGCCATTTTCTGAAGGTCCTTGAGAAGTTTGAAGACTATCTATCTGTCTCAAATACATCTCTATATATTTAGAAAACCTAACTTACCTAACTATAAGGTCTGACTACTATAAGTGACTATCGATAATCTGTATTTAATTACGCATTACATTTTAAAAGATCAGTATAAGCACAATACTTAATCAAGAGGAGAAATATACATATCACAAAATTGACCTTGAATTTGTATCAATAAATGAAAAACAATACCCATACCATAATTCCCCTTTTAGCCATTAAAAAGAGATTGGCTGTGATCATTAGCCAATTAAAAACAACCCCATTTAAATGAAAACAAAGATTTATAAACAAGATGGGAATTAGGATGTTGCTCATTCCAAACTGCTCCATGCTGGAAGAGAGTGCTGTTCATACCATGGGGATCATGACAAAACTCAGAAACCTGTATAAGTCCGTATTTTCAGGGTCTGTGAAGCTCCATCATCTTAGCTGTCTCAATTGTTGGAACACCTGGTCCACTGCTTCCAGGGGTCTTGGTTCATCAAACCACAGATGCCTGGAAGGAATCCTCAGCTTTTCATTTTCTATGGAAACATAAGCAAAATCTCCTTTCCCAAGTAACATATCCTTATACTTAAATTTTGAAGTCAAGGCATTTCCAAAAGATATAAGTTGAATTAATTTAGAAACATTTATAATCAAGTGTACTTTAGCAGCTGTTCCTTCCTGAGCAATCAAAAAACTGAAAAACACAATAGCATACAGTATCCAGACTATCTGTGTATTTTCCATCTTTACGTGGCTTATTTATTTATCTATTATTACTTTATTTCTTTCACTTTCATTTATTTTTCTCTGAGACAGTGTTTCTCTTTGGAAATCTGCCTGCCTCTGCCTCTGCAGCAATTCCTACAGGCGTGTGCCACCACAGCTGGCTTCTCTATTTATTTAGCATTATGTTGTTTCTTTTTCTCTCTCAATCTTATGTACATTTTTAAACATACTGTAAGCCTTTAGAGGTTTTTCTTCATCCATGTCTGACTTTACTGTAAATCTTTGTTTTTCTGGCCACGTGTCTTATCTGTTAAAACTGCGGCTGTTTAAACTGCAGTTTTTCCAAGACGGCAGGCGTAAGCGTAACTCCAGCTGCCTGCCTGGAGATGTGGTCACTGCCATTTCCAGCTGTGCGTACACACCTTTCAATTGTTAGCAGAACCTCTTAAAAGAACCTTGCTGTTTTTTTTTCTAATGCTGAGTCAGGAAGACTCGAAGACTCCCCTAAGCGAGTCACGTGAGTTTCTGCTTGTTGCTAGCAAAACAGAGGCCACCTAAGAAAAATGCTGCTACCAAAAAGCCCAAGCTTTTCTCCGTTCTTTTGTTTCTAAAATTCCCTTAAGTCTGTTGTCCTCTACGTGGAAATTCATCATCCCACTCCTGATAACCATTATGTAAAGGGAAGCCTTCCTGCCAGCCTGGTTCCAGAGCCGCATCAGTCCCAAATAAACACACAGGAGGCTATATTAATTATGAAGCTGTTGGCCTTGCTTGTTTCTTACTGGATAGCTCTGACTTAAGTATTTATCCCATAATTGCTAATCTAAGTATTTCTCTTACTGGAGAGGTTTCCGGGCTTCCTGCCCCATGGCGTTACATCTCAATTCTCTGTGTTTCTCCTTCCCGGAGTCCTCCTGGACTCCTAGTCCCACCTATCTTGGTTCCCTATTGGCCCAACAGTGATTTATTGACATAATCACAGGACTTCCCACATCACTATTCTACTATACTCTGTTCTTTATCATCTATCTATCTTCTCTGTGTGTGTGATTTATTAAATTATTTTATAGGCTAAAATCCAACAATGTCTTCTGAGAGGCTAACAATCTGTTAATTTCTTGGTCCAGAAGATTGGCCCTGGAGACATGCAGGATTTCTAAATTAAGAAGAAATGTACTAGATATTATTTTCAAAATCATAGTCTGTTAAGCAGCATTTAAAAAATATTACCACTCTTCTGGTGAATATTATGCAAAAGTCTGAAAAATAATTCTAATGCTCTGAATGTTAGAATTTTAATTTTAATTTACATTTCTGTTTTCTGATATAGTCTTCTATAGGCCATAATGGCCTCCAACTCACTAAGGAATTCAGGAGAACCATAAGATTAAAGGCATGTTCTGCCATACCCAGTTTATATTTAAATTCTTTCATTAATTAGCACTTTTATAAAGTAAGTGAAATAAATTGCTAAAAAAACAAAATTTCCAGCAATCATATGAAAATGGAAGGCCAACATTTTTTATTTTACAAACCATTAATTATTACTGAATTGCTACTTAGTTTCTAAATCCTCAATTTTCACACTTACCATGGCTTGAAAATGAGCAATTCTGAGAATGTTATGAAGACACAGTTCACATTTTGAATTGCTGTAGTCCTGAAGGACACCTCCAACTGTGAAGACAAAATCTATTTTGCAAGTGTCTGAAGAACTATGTGAACTCCACCAATAAAATGTATGTGGCAAGAATAGATGGCCAAATATAGGCTTAACATCAAATCAAGGAGAAATATTGGGGAGATACTGGGAAAGTTGGAGAACATACATTCAATTCCCAGAACCCATGTTAAAAAATCAAACAACAGCAAAAATCCAGTCATGGTGGCATGTAGTTGTAACCCCAGAGCCAGAAAGGATAGTCTGTCCTACTTTGTGATGTCCAGGCTGGGAGTTGAAGAATGGCATCCAAAGTTGACCTCTGTCCTCCACACAAATGCATGACAATTGTTATCACCATGTCTCTGACTCCATCACTGTAATGCCAACATTTTGCCCTAATTAATTTTAAGAATTTGTGTTTCTCAAATCATGAAAACGTAAAAGTGAGACATGATCAGTTAAGAGACCCCAAGAATACCTTGCTCATGGTGGAAATAATAGCAAGGCTCTGGTGTAGGAGTGTGAAGGTAGGGACAATGAGGAATACAGAAACCTTATCATAGCCTATGACTTTGAGGTAGAAAGCATGTTTTTTCTCCAAAGAGGTTTAATTTGTAGGCTGTAATCCTTGCTCTTGCCTCATCTGTCTGAGGCTTGTTGAGTTGATATGGAGATAATGCATTATGAGTGAACTCCAGTGCCTTTTAACCCTGTGTGACAGTGGTTACACCATATCTTCTATATATACTTAGGTAGTAACTTACTGCACAACTTGTAAGCATACATTCTTCCTAATTGCTAGATGAGAGAAAATTTTAAAAAGATGGAGATTTGGAAGCAATACAAATCAAATGCAAATGTAAAATTCTGCATGGATGTGATTTAATTTTCAGAACTACCTTGTGTGCTATTTAGACACAATCAGCCCTAAACACACTTCTGAATGTTGTTTTGTTGCATATAAATTCTCTTCTAAGCAGGGATGAGGTGAGCTAATGGTTTTCTTTATCAGTGTTAGGATTGGATTATACTGCAAAGATAAATTTAGGTCTCCAAAGGCAAAAATACTCTGTAAATCACACAGAAATAAGTGTTAGGATTGGATTATACAGCAAAGAAAAATTGAGGTCTCCAAATACAAAAACCTCTGTAAATCACACGGAAATAAGTGCTGCATGGGGGGGGGGGGTGTTGCTTCCATAAATCCTTCTTTGGAAATGTAATAACAGACTACTTCTATCTTGGAGTTTCTTAGAACACTTTGACAAGTTCTTGTTAACTTTTATTTTATGATTTAATGAAGAAATACTTATGGGAGTTTAGAAATGAGGAGAATAACCTTGCATTAATACTGGATCCTATGATTCCAGAATAGAAACAACATTGAAAAAGGTAGACTATAACGCTAACTCAACAAGTGAAAGACCTGTATCAAAAGAACTTTGAGTCTTTTTTTTTTTTGGTTTTTACAAGACAGGGTTTTTCTGTATTGTTTTTGAGGCTGTCGGTCCACCCTGGCCTCGAACTCACAGAGATCTGCTTGCCTCTGCCTCCTGAGTTCTGGGATTAAAGGTGTGCACCACCACCCCTGTCGAACTTTGAGTCTTTAAAGAAAGAAGTTAAGAAGACATCAGAAAATGGAAAGATCTCCCATGCTATTGGATAGGTAGGATCAATGTACTAAAAATGGCAATCCTGCCAAAAGCAATCTGCAGATTCAATGCAATCCCCATTA